TTTCTTTAAAAATAATTTGAATTGACGAATCTTGTAAAGCACTTTTTCTTATTTATAAAGATATCTATTATAAAATACTTAAAATTTCAAGCAATAAATTGCCTTTGTTTAATTTAATGATTAATTTATTAACTATCAATTCAATTTTATTTTAATCTAAAAAGGTTTTTTTTTCCTAAATGATTTATAAACTTTGTAAAATTTTTTAGAATAATATATTATACAAAGCTTTTATTAGCTTTAACAAAAAAAAAACAAAAAAATTTAAATCAAAATTAAATTAGAGTAGTTTCAACCAGTAAAATAATCCATTATAGACTTTACAAGGTACTAAGTATGTCAATAATTGTGATTTTTGCTATAAAAGAGAATTATCGAAAGGGAACTGAAGTAACAGATAATAAATGCTATAGTTTCTCAAATAGTGAAAAATAATTTATCATTCTTGCAAAATTAGTTTTATTTAAAAATTAATTTTAATAAATAAAAATTCACAAAAATATGATTGAAAATCAATTTGATCAAATGAAGTGAAATTGTTGTTAAAAAGTTAATAGATTAGAATAAACTAAAATAAAAATAAAAGATAATAAATGGATTTGAAACTATTTGAAAATGGTAGATGAAATAAAAAAATATATAAAAATTACTAGACTATTTATTAAATTAAACCAAAAAACCTAAGAAAAACTATTCTTTTATTGGGAAAGGCTTATTCCACGGAAAAATTAAAGGAAATCATATGAAAACCCCTAATTAATAATTTATTTCTTCTTAAACAAAAATTTAATTTGAAGACTAACATACCAACCCTAACAAAAGTAACTGATTTTTCCATTAGAAGGCGCTCATACGTGCTCTGCAGTACCTCCAGTAAAGATTCCACCGGTATGAAAAGTTCTTAATGTTAGTTGAGTCCCTAGTTCACCAATGGATTGTCCCGCAATAATAACTACTGCTTCGCCCAATTCAACCAAATCACCATGCGTTGGACTTCGACCATAGCATAATCGACAGATCCAAGATGTACTCCTACAAGTAAAAGGAGTTCGTATAGATATAGATATTGGTTGTGCTCGAAAGATTAGGAATTGATTGACAAGTCCAATCCCAATATCTTGATATTGAATGAGCTATCTAGCCTATTTTACTTTACTAAGTTGGTGACTATTATAAAAAAATTATGGATATGTTTGAGATTGTTGTAAAATGTTGTGGTTGTAGTTGTATTTGTTGCTGCCACGGTAATTGTAATTATGGTTATAATGAATTGTGATATCTTATAATAGTAACTGTGATAAATTGTTTTGTGTTATTACTGTGATTAAAAGTTATTTTGATATTTGATTATTTATTTTTTTAAAATATTATGAATGAAATATAACAAATTTTATTAATTATTAATTAAAATTTA